ATTTGAACATTAGGGAGCATAAAACACGATTTGTTTTTGGCTTACGGTTGAATATAGTAGTCTCTATGTTTTCATAGTGATTTTCTCTTTTTTTTAAGTTAGACAACCGAAATCGAACTACGTTAAATATTACTTTTTGTGTGTGATTTATTTCTTATTGATTTGCATCGATTACTTCACTTACAAATTTCTAAACACGTTATGTATGTTGTATGTATATATATATATTGATGTGTATGTATATGCACTAACAATATTTTTTGTACAAGGCAGATGACTGCAAATGCGTTGTCAGAGAGTGCAGAAGAGTTACCAAATGGTATGGATTCATTTGTTTCAAAGCCTGTAACTTTTCAAAATCTGAAAGAGTGTCTCGAACAGTATTTTCCGTGAAGGATTACCTATTGTAAATGACACGTGTAGAAAATTGGCAGAGCATGTTAGGAAAGTTTGTCATGTGTCTTCTTCTCTCAGCCATTACCATCTCTTCATAGATTGTATAGTTGTAGGCCATTGTTTCCTCCATCTCCCATAACTTCCTACAGAATAAAATTTAAGTTTATGAAATGAGTTCGCTGTCAGGAAGACAAATATCATCGTGATCTCACATTCAACTTGACAATTCAAATCCAAATTTAAGTCGATTCAATCTAATCATTAGAAACGAATATGAATTCAAATTGATCTAAATTCGATATAATTCAAACTCAAAACCGAACTAACTTGAAAAAAAAGATGTTAAAAATATGAATGGATCTAATCCGGATTGAACTAACCCAAAACAATCTCGTCCTACATGGAAAGTCTAATATTAAGTAAACAAGCGGATGTGATACATGTATTGTAATGTGCTCCTTTTTGATTAAAGGGTAGTACTTAAGGTAAGTTTAGCGTCCCGTGATGCTTGGTATAACAAATATGAGAATCAAGTGGGCTACAACGAAAAAGAAAAGGGGTAATAGTGTTATTTAGCACAAACAAGCAGAGCAGGTGGAATTGAATTGCTTCAATCAGCTGTGATAGCAATGTGGTGATGAGAAAAGGAGAATTTATGTATACATATAGTGAGTGAGTAGTATATAGTTAGGTCATTTCCCTTTAAGAGAAGAAAAGAGAAGAGAAGGAGAAAAGAGATTCTGGATGTCACAGAGTCAATCTCTCAATGTAACTTCACATGAACCTGAAATGAAAGCGACACATGCAGCTCTGCACATATGTTGGTTTCCAGTCTGGTAAGAATAAAGTAAGTATATATGGAGTTTCAGGTAACCCAGAGCTAGCCCTTACTAAAAATTAATGAAAACAGATACTTTCAATAATTAATTATATTGTAAAGTAGTTTAATGTGGTTTTAGTGCAAGTATGGTAATGTAGAGTCACGTCAATTGGTCGTCTCCAATATACCACTTAGGCGGAGAATAAATATTAGTACAGATTCCTACGAGAATAAATGACCATCCAGCTCAGTTGGTAAGCACAAGGCTCTTATCCTTGGGGTTGTGGATCGATCCACGGAGGGCATTTCATAATTCGGAGGTCTCTACGGAAGCTGCTCTCAACCTGACGTTTGGGGGCAGTCTACTATCGTACCTCCCTCTTATCTTCATTACATACGGGAATAAGGGTCAGCTAATTTTACAGATTCCTTTGCAATCAGCAGTTGCTACCAGAGAGAATAGGTGAAAAAGAAAATCTAAACATGAACCTGATCATCAGGACCAGAACATGTAGTTTTAGTGATGAACAGTTTAGGGTTATATCCATTAATCATCACCATTTGTTATTAAAATATCCTTATCCACGATAACCATCTTACTAATCTCATTAATTAACCCTACTAAACCCGATATCAAATCCAACAACCATTCCTTATTAAACGGTCGGAGTTATATAGAGCATAAAAATGACAATATATCTTTTGAAAGCGAAACACAGGAATGAAGAAGCAAGAGGCATACTGCCTGCCACTTGCTACAAAGCTTATACATTCGTTATCTTTATTAAATGATTCTGGCACATCAGCAATACTCGGTTTGGATAATTGTGTGGTCAATTGTTTATTCCTGCCCTTCCACTATACTAAAATTTCAGATTGAGTCAATGCCCTGAGTACTAATATGTCAAAAAGTTACGACTTGTCACCTCTTGTATCATGTAAAGGTATTTGTTAGAAAACAAATAAGAATGTAGAAAGACATTGTGAAGGGATCCTTTCAAGTTTGGTGTAGTGTTCTGTATCTTATTGGCAAACACCATCACATATTTATCAAATACCAAATGCACTGCCTAATATGCTATATAATACCCATCAAACACTGCTACCATCATTTCTTGAATAATTGATTATAAACAAATTTGTAAATTTAAACTAAAATAAATTTAGACATAATTTAAATTAAGATTAAAAGTTTTAAGACCTCTATTAAGTCATGTATTAGGAGACAACTAATTTTCTAAACACATAGCCAATTATATCCATTTCCCGAGATTTAAATGTCATTAACAATTGTAAGCAATAATGTACAAGTAATTTTCTTTTTAATTTTGGTTTCGACCTGCTATAAATATGAATCCTCGGGCTCCATCACACTTTAACATTCATTTCCTCTACCTTTTCCATTAAAACAATGAGACCTATCTGCAACGTTAACGCAATAGAAGCATCACCAAAGGCCTTATTGTCACCACCAGCAATGGCGCAACCACGCTCCCCATGGCACTCTCCCGTCCCCTACCTCTTCGGAGGCCTAGCAGCAATGCTGGGTCTCATCGCTTTCGCTCTCTTCATCTTAGCTTGCTCCTACTGCCGACTCTCGGGTCGTTTGGACCACAACAACGGCTGATGATGTCGAAAGCGGTGGGAATGAGGTCGATTCAAACGAGCAGGTGAAGGTTTATGAGGAGAAGATATGGTTATAATGGCTGGTGAACTCAAGCCCACGTTTTTGGCAACCCCTAAAGCTTCCATTTTTGGTGATAAAAGTGAGTTAAAAGAAGAGGAAGGACCAGAGAAAGGCGCTGAAAGTGAAAGAAGAGATGGATGATCATCATCAACAATTGGCAAGGATTACAGAGAATTCAGCAAACCCAGAGAAGCATGAGAGACAACAACAAACCCAAGACCAAAACTAGTGCAGTTAGCTGGTTTCCATTTTTACTGTTTTGGTTATGTTTCTTGTCCTCTGTTTGATGTTCTTTGGGTTTCAGTCCCGAGAAGTTGGTTGTTTTTTCAATCGCCGGGAAATGTATTTTTTTTTTCAGAGAAGATAAGAGTTGTGAATTTCAGTTGTTTTACAGTTGGCCAAACTTAGGCAAACGTCGCAACAACAAAACTAAGGAAACACGCATACACTTCTTCTTGAGCCAAACAGCTGCTCAATTTCATTACGCAAACTCAATGAATAAGCTTCTGTTATTTAAATTACAAAAATGGAAGAATAAAGGAAATAAAGAATAGTTTTCTTAGCCTGGAACAGGGTCCGGGGCGACATTGATTGCAGAAACAAAGCATCCAAACTCATCAATTTCTCGAATATTTTAGGCACGAAACAGGGAACATGCTCACCATTAATTGTATCCACTAGAATTGTTAATGAAATAGCAAACCGACTCGATGCTAGCTTTTGTTTTTAATTCCTCTCTTTTTATTCCTTGTTTAACACTATGAGCTATTGCCTAAAGTTAAGAGAGATGTCTTGAAGCTCAAGAACAGCCTTATTACAATGTCCGATCCCCAAAAACCCTTGGAAATTTTGAATTGCTACTAAAGTGCCGAGTCTATGATCGGTTCTTTTTTTTCCCAGAGCATTTAAATGAATGAACTTAAGCGCATAGAAAATTCTTCGTTTACTGTGTGTTCGTAAACAAGGATTGCGAACAAACTACGAGAAACAAATTTCATTACATCTACAACATAAAAGGACTCGAGTCTCTCGGCATTCTTTACATAAATTGGTACGTGGGAACCCATTATATTGTGCGGTTAATAGTTTTCTTTCTATGACTAACTATTACTATTGAAGTTCATTTCAACTCGAGCAGCCATCGTGTTTAGCAATTACTAGGAAGGGACGTGTTAAGCAGAAACACTAGGAGAGGAACCACCTTGATTAGCCAAGAAACGGACGACAACACAAGTTACATTATCTGCGCTACCTCTCTGGCATGCCTCTTGCATCAGCCGCTTTGCTGCCTGCTCAGGATCCTGTATTGGCTTTACCATTGCCACAGCCTCCTGCAAAAGGTAAAGAGCAGTTAGGAAGGAAGCCAACTATGCTCATTTCAGAACCAAAATGCTGCCCAAACTACTACCAAGATGCATCAAGTTGAAAAACAAAAGTGTTCCATTTCCATACCTCGTTTGAAACAACATCCCACAGTCCATCACTAGCAAGAATAAGGAACTCAAGCGAGCTGTCAACTTTTTCCTCCTGAAAGCATAAATAAGATACACGAGTTGTAGAATGCTCAAAAATCAATACTACTAACATCAATGAAAAATTATTACTCATATAATCATCTTAAGTAGGGACCCTATATAGTTTTCTATCCCCAGGCAGAAATCTAACAATCAAGGCTACTTGCAAAATTTTGATAAACCCATCTTAATTCTTCCAAGCAGACCTGAATTTCTGGATCAGCAACAACATACTGCTTCAGGAGCCTGTCACCAAATGCACGAGAGACGGCAAGAACACCTCCCACTCTCCAAGTTCCTACAGAGATAAACATGAAGGGAAGAAACTTTACACATAGAACAGCTTATACAGGAAATAGAGGGATAGAGATATGGCTAGATGTCAATCCGCACCAGCCCACATGACAAATCCTCCTGCATCCTCAATCCGTTGTCTCTCATCACTTTGATCTGGCTTGTGATCACGAGACACAGCAAAAGCTGCAAGCGGAATATTACAAATCAGCAGCAATCAAATGACTCTCCAACAAGATGATACAGGTAAAGCAGATGGCAACATCATGTGTGTCAGGTATCAGATGAATACAATAGGAAAGAAGAATCATACCGTTGCCTCCTCTGCAGATAACAGCTCGAGAATCACCAACATTTGCAACTAGCAAACGATCCCCAACAAGTATAGCAGTAGAAGCAGTTGACCCAGCATCCCTATTCTGGTTGTTTTCTGATTTTAAAAATTCAGAGTCTGTATGGTTGTATGCATCAGCTGCAGTTGGAAACAATTTGAAAGACAAGTTAGACCAGCCCACTAGAAAAGACACAACTACAAGATACAGTCACAACGTGAATAACCTATAGCAGATTTGGTGTCAGATATGAACTTTGGATGCCTGATCAAATTACTGAAAAGGTTTTGCTTCACATATTCAGCCGCCCGTGCACCTCCGTGGCCTGAAACAGCCTTGCGTGTAAAGATTAAGTAAACAATTAACTAAGCATGACTAGCCAGCAACACATTGCTTTTATGTTACAGCAGTTATGATCTTAATGACGATGCATAGTAACAGAAACTATTTTAGGGCTGAAGATAATGTACTGCCACAGCATAGAATATATAGTTTACCACAGTACTGTCACGAGCCAATAATAGCCCATGAGCAATGGCTTCCAATATTGCTACCACATTGCAGCAGATAACTAATACCAGAATCTCCCTGAAATCCTTTCAGATACGTTCTCTACATTGAGACTTGAGAATACACTTGTATTGTAACAGTGTATCTTGCTCTATGCCTCTATCCGAAGGGATTATAGCAAAACCAAGGAAGAAAAAGCTCAACTTTGAACTGAGATTATCAAATGAAGAAAGGCTAAAACCAAAGAAAACGTGATTCTCATACACTCTTTAACATACAAATAATAATCACCATGGATGTTAGGAAAAAAGTATTTACCAATATGGAGAGATATATAGAGAAAGTAAGAGAGAAATATACCATCAAAAACTCCAAAAAGACCGACTATCTCTCCATCAACACCATCAATCCTTGTTTCATAAAAATCTTCCATTGAAGACCTCTTCCCAGGAGAGCTTGAATAGCCATAGCTGAATTTTCCATTCTGGCTGTACCAGAAAACAAGTGACATTTAATTTTAGACATTATACAAATCAATGCAATTTTCAGGAAAAGATGTAAACCCAATAAAAACATAGGAGTACTTCTTATTATCATCTAATTTAAGCGAAAAATGTTTCAGGAAAAGTTTTGATCTAATTGTTTATGTGCTAGGTCATAATCACAGAAGATATTTCTTCAGGCAATCTATTACTCAATTCATTCCAGACTAAAAATATACAAAAATTAAATTCCCAATTATTCAAAATACAAGACTTGAAAATACATGATAAAACCATGAAGTAAATTTTTGATGCGAATAATAATTTGTTATTGTCTGAGTAATATTGGCAACACAACAAACTGCCTTTTTATCCTTACTCATAAAGAATGGAAGAAAGAAGAAACTAAATGATTCATCATGAAAACGATTGAGAAATTATCACACTGCACGCATCAAAAATGACAAATTTGATATTCCATTGTAGGTTTATCCAAAATCATGCAGTGAAAACCCACTTAAAGGAAAAGATCCACAAGAATTTATGAGCATGCTGATCTAAATTTGCGAGTAAATGAACTATCCAATTTTTTGGAGATTTGTCTACCTTTGCTAATGATAATGATTACCAAGATTTAACCTAGAGCAAGCTATCCAGCAGGGATCTTTGTCTAAAAGGAAAGTAAATAACGGATATCTCACTATTAAAGTTGATGTTTCCATTTTCAATGAAAAATTACAATAATAAGCCAGTGTTTTATTGTATGGAATAAAAAGGATCTACTTTCAGAAATCATACAAACTAAATAAGGGGGGGGGGGAAATCAAATATGCAGTAAAATTCAGACATGGCGTGAAGAGCCAAACACGTGTTGAACCATATGGAAATTTAATAAGGAGTAACTTCCAACGCAAAAAAGGGTAGCAATGGAAGAAATTCAAGATCCAAGGAAAGAATAATGAAAAGGAAAGAAGGAGAGATGGCAGAAACCTAAGGCCTCCGCCGCTGACCGGTCCATATTCAGCATGAACCTGATTTGAGGATTGCAAAACAGAGTTCAAATAGCCCATCTTACAGCTCGAGCATTCAAAATTTTCACTTCTTATCACTAGTATCTAAATCAGGAAACAACAAAACGTAGAAGCGTATTTGACAAGAGATGTTTCAGGTGATAAAAGGTAAGGAAAAGGCCTAATTTGGCTGCTAATTCAAACCAAACAGTCTTCAAGTTTCCAGCACCATCTCAAATCTTAACCTGCGAAGCAACAAAAAAATTGCAGATCCAGTTCAAACTAATACCAATTGAAACTTGAGAAATAGTTGATATGCTTGGTATATTATCAGGAAAGTATTAAATAAATAAATGAAGGTGATGGAGAAGGGAGAGGAGACGGCTTACCTTAATGAAAGGAAACGAAAGGAGATGCCATTATAAGAGAGAGAGAGAGAGAGAACAAAGCGGTTTAAAAGGGGAGGAAAAAAGGAGACGTACAAAAGAAAGGAAACGGTTCCAGAGAGAGAATTATACTCAATTTTAGTTTAGATTTAGAGGCTCAAATTCCCCAAGTTTTTATTATTTGAGTTTACCAATTGAATTTCGGACATCATTTCAGAATATCTAATTCTTTTAAACTTAGAGGTGAATTAACCAAAGTAAAATTAATCAGTTTCACTCATCAAATCAGATTTGAATTTAATTGATTGATTAGATTTAAGAAATAAATATTAATGATAAATAAACTTGTAATAACTTTTTATTACAAAACTATGAGCAGTTGGGTAAAATAAAGAAGAAAAGGGTGATCATGTTCAAAACCGAGGTGGTTAAATACGTGTCGCTTTATAGAGAGACGCCTACAATACGATCTACCCTTTTCTTCATGCTTACAATACGATACGACAATGTGAACAGAAAAAAGTCGGTCTTCAAAACTATATAGGGTAGCTGAATTGAACTATACACGTGGCACACATGTAGAAGGATCACTTTACAAACATATTTTTAACATGATTATTGATCACGACTTCAAAAATTAATTATCATCTAATTGAAGGGTCAGGTCCATGATTTTTGGTCAACTTGTGACATAGTCTAGACATAAAAACCCAACAAGTATCTGGGAATTTGTTGCCGACGTGCAACGAGACGGTTGATATGATGTCTATAGAAAAGCTAAGGGCTTCTGGCTTCAATGCAAGCCGCATCAACATTGCTATCCATATCTCAGGGGCCAACTTTACTGCTTGATGGAGAGACCTAAATCCATTAGTCACTCTCTTCATCATTGCATGATCCTGCAAATTTGAAAGTATAGTATAATAATAAGAAGAAAAAAGATTGACCTGCTTCCTTAAACAAGTTTAAGGTAAAGCTACTTAATCAATAAATACATCGCGAACCTCAGATTCTGAAGTTCCTCTTGCTCTGCTTTCAGCTTCTAGCCTACAACCAAATTCGTCCTGCAAAAAAACATCGGCTGCTTGAACTATATCCCGTAGGAGGAAAACCCGCACCACTAGACCCTTCTCAGAGAGAATGAAATGCAGAAGATCTTCTGTGGCATCAACAACTGCATGCATGTCAAATGACTTCCATTCTGACGGAGGGGAGTGGTTTTCTTTAATCTTGGGATGTTTATCCAATGATTCAGAAGCCTGTTCTGATATTGCAGCTACCTGATACAAGATGAACCACATCCATGATGCGATTACGTCAATCAAAGCAGATAAATTGTCTTTATTTTTACTAGCAGATAACAACTCTGTTGTCAATGTAAACCAGTCTCTATATGTAATAACAAAGAGAAAAGACCTACCAAGCGCTCTAGGCGGTTCCACCTAATGGATCCATTATTACGGATGATAAGCTCTCTTAAGATTTTTCTCATGTCAGGATTGGGATCAGCCAAAAGCCTTCCAATCACAAATGGGTATGCACTTTCAACCACTTTGAAATCAGGATCAAGCGCTTTTGCTGTCCCTTCCAGTGAACCAAGAGCTCTTACCACAAGAGCATAGTCCGGGGGAAGAGAGAAGTTAAAATCGTACATCACATCATATAACTGGTTCATTATACTCTGAAATCCAAAGCAAAGCAAAGGAAAGTCATGACATGAGTCGTGCTTTTAGAAAAGTAATAGCGAATTTAGAAAAGTAGCAGCGAATTTACGATACGCAGACAAGTGACCAAAACACACACAGAACTTATCATGCCGACTATTTTAGATAAGAAAATGTAAACACATGTAGATTTTAAAGAGAATAAAACTCGAATGAATCTCATGCTGCAACCCAATTGTTGGAATGTAGAAACTATAGTTCATATTTCACCAAAAAACAGTACAATTGAACTGATACTTGCTATATTTAGGCAACACAACAAGTAATCATGTTTAAGAAGCAGCACAGCCTTTAACACAAATCTCTCATTATAACTGACAATTCTTCATCATTGAGTTAAACAAATAACAAGAATCACTCTAACAAACTTGTAGAGCTACTTAACCTAATAACACAAATGCATTTTGAAGTGCTTATTATGCCTATTGGTATTCAAAGAGGGATAACTAAACTATGTTACCAACAGACAAAACTGAAAAATAAGGTAAAGAGACACAAGCAAAAACCTGGAAGTCTTTAGATTGCTGAGTCTCATCCCCAAAAGATGCCTTCAAAGCATCTGCCACGGATTGTATATCAACTCCTTCAGGAATAAATCCCAATGAAAGATAATCATTTGCCAATCCCAGAGAGTCACGATTAACGAAGTGCACAAGCTGAAAGAAACAAGAACTTATAATCACAAACACAACCTCAGGGAATAACCATCAAAGCTCAGCATCACCATTCAAAGAACATGATATGAAGATCCATAAAATAACAAACATGCAAAAGGAGGATATGACATGTGCATGTAACACATTAATAGAAAACAGGCTAAGAGTATTAGTCATGATCATGAATACTATATTTTGAATACTAACAGAATGCATAGAGAATCTGTCATGACAATCAATAACAAAATCAAGCAGCCTTCTCGTATAATTATCAATGGAACAGCTCTTACCACTTGAATAAGTCCTACACGGTAATGGCGAGGGATATCCCCCATCATCCCAAAGTCAATATATGCAAGGGATCCACTGCTAGTAGCAAGAAGGTTTCCAGGATGTGGGTCAGCATGGAAAAACCCCACCTCAAGCATTTGTCTCAAAGAGCAGTACACTCCCTAACAACCAGTCAAAAGGAGTATAAATCCAACTAAACCCAGTTACACCATATATTTGCTACAATAATATTTAGTATAGCCAAAAGCTCAAATTAAACACTTATTTAGATTACCTGATCAACCAGTTCCCTTCGGTTTAGACATGCTTTCTTCAGGGAAGATTCATCTGTGAGCTTAATTCCATCTACCCATTCCATTGTAAGAACAGTTTTTCGTGTCAGGTCCCAGTATATTTTTGGCACTTTAATTCCCTTTCCATTTTTGTTTTTGATGGCATTCATATATTTTGCATTTTGATTACAAGTATGGCTATCACCTGTACCCACAAGGAAATTGCATTAATACGAATAACCACTCACGAATCACAAGGCTCGCCAAAAGGTTAAACTGACAGCAACAAATACAACATGCAGCGGTAACATTTTGATGTACGGAAGAAGGAAATCATTTAAAATTCGCTTTTTTTAACTATAAACCACCTTCCCTCATCTACAAGTTTTTCTTTTATTTTGATTACAAGTATGGCTATCACCTGTACCCACGAGGAAATTGCATTAATAAGAATAACCACTCATGAATCACAAGGCTCGCCAAAAGGTTAAATTGACAGCATCAAATACAACATGCAGCGGCATTTTGATGTATGGAAGAAGGAAATCATATAACAAATTGTTAACCATTAAATTATTTAAAATGCCATAAGCAATTATAAAATACTTACCAGGACAGACACCATAAAGAGAGGCAAAGCGTTCAGCATTTCTAGCCTCCAACACATAATCAATTTCGTCAAACATGTGCCTTACCTGTTAAGAGACACCTGAAGATGTCCATTAGTATGTACAATCTCATCAATGAAAACATGATGATACAAATGCACACACTATTGTAGATATCAAAATCAGAGATCCCTTCAGAAATGCATACACGGTAACTTATAATTGAAACATTATAACATGATTGGAATATGTACACGCTTGAGGAAGACTCACCATTTCATTTACAGCAACTAACAGATCCTTGCGAGCTTTTGCAAATCGCTTTAATTGGCCCCCAATCATATGGAACAACAGTGCATCAAGGGTCAACAAGAGTGACATACCAGGCCTCTGCACTTTAACAGCTACAAGTTCTCCAGAATGAAGGCGAGCTGCAAGACTTAAAGCAATGAAGCAGACATTTAGCCTTAGCTTTCTAAAAAATATAGACCTTTGAGTTGGAATATTTTTGACCTAAGAAGAGGATATGGGAAGAGAGGGCGGGGGACAGTATGTTGTATTCCCTTTAACAAAAATGGTGGTCTGACCTTATACACCTGTCCTAAAGATGCTGCTGCAATAGGCTCTTGGCTTATATCAGCAAAAATTTCAGAAACTGGAATACCCAATTCAGTCACAATAGATTTTATTGCAATATGGGTTGGAAATGGGGGAATTTGATCCTGGCATTAATAGAAAAGATTCAAGTAGGAGAAAGAAAAAACAAATATAAATACCAATAATTAATAAATCTCACCAACTAAACCCATAGTTTTATTAGTATGTTTGAAGAAAGGGTTGTATACTTGTATACCTGTAACTTAGCAAGCTCTTGACAATAGACAGATGGCAATATATCTGCTCTTGTGCTCAAAGCCTGCCCAAGCTGAATACCCAAACAAAAGGAAACAATAGAACAATATAAGCTTGCATGTCTATAGCCTAATTAAAAGAGCAACCATCGAGTCCTCAAACCCCTTAAGGAAAGTTGACATCAACACTCAGAGTTCAGATCCATAAAAGAAATTTCCATGCATTGGGTCCAATTCAACAAAAAGAAAAATGGAACAGTGAAGTTTGCTAAATTTTGTAAAACTAGTAAAGAGAAACTAGAATAAACAAAATCCAATACACAACTTAATAGAACAGTTCAGAAGAAATAAAGAGTACGGTAAAACAAAGATAAAGGAACTTGCCTTAACATAGAAAGGACCCAAGCGAATTAACATCTCACGAAACTGAAAGAGAGTAAGAAATGCAATAAGCTTGTGAAACCAAAGAAAACAAAAAGAAAGATATGATAGTTTTAACAAAAACAAGGGCCAAATAACATGAAATTGTAACATTAAAACAAGCAAAATTCTAGCACAAGGTTAGCCAGATTATGCTAAGGTATTAGAAGTTTTACTATGCTCTCATATTGGATGCATCCATGAATTCAGAACCAAGTTCAAGTTATTAACAAAACATGTTAAAAAATAAAAGCCATATAATACCTTCACCGCACGCTCTTTTATGTCTCGAAAAAAGAATTGCCAAATGGTCAACTTCAACACATGATATGAAATGATTGCTGCTCTGTACAAAGCCAGAAATGGGCCAAATCTGTAGACAGCAGAAATACTTTTCGAGCTGTGCGTTCCAACAGTATGCCCGAATTCACTTTCTAGTGATTCCTTCCTCAATTTGGCATACTCTGCAGAAGGCCTCTCACCATGCACACTGGCAAAACCCGTAGAAAACCTGAACAAAAACCGTTGCAAGGTAAGTGTGAAATTGCAGATATTAAAGAAACTCCACATTCACCTATTTATTTATTATACTTATATAACCCAATTCGGAGCATCAAAGTAAAGTAGTAAATATGAGTGTACTTACAGATGTTGTTGCAGCAAGTAAAATGGATGTCCAGTATCCATCTGAACTTCTAGGGAAATAGAACGACGCATCATAATTTCAACAGGTATATTATGGTTTAGTGCTGCAACAAATATGAGCAATCAACTAATATAAACATTAACATTCACATACACTCAAGGTCGCAAAAACAAACTGCAACAACATTACTAAATAAACAACCCAAGGTAAAATGACCTCCTTATACCAGTTAGAAACAAATATGATCCAAAAAAATATTACATGTATGAAGTTTTAGAAATGCCCAGCATGGTACTATAAAAGGGCTTCAAAATCCTAAAACTCAGTAGAACACGTGGCTCAAAGATTCTTTTTCCCCAGAAAAATCATCATGTTAACACTAGCATCGAAGGAAATTAAGCACAGTGCAGCAATTGATATTAATGTTGATATAATAATGAACAGGGACAGAAAATTGATACCAGTGGAGAGCAATGTGAAACGGTGATGACGGCTGAGAGTGGCGAACACTTTCCTCATTGAGCGAATCGTATAAAGGGGCACGAAAGATGTCAGGCAGCAATCGAAGCTTTAACTTATGCTAACAATTTGTTTGTGAAAATGCGTATTTGAACGAAGCTAGTGATCGGGACGGGCTGCGCCAATGTTTTTGCTTTCGGTTGCAGAAATGTTGACACGTTATATGCCTATATTGCGCCTCCAGCATTCACGAACCGCCAACCGCTTCCCTCTCTCGTGGAAAAAGATGGGCCTAACTCGCATTTAGTGGATTTGGATTCATCTGTATTAAAGTTGAGGCCGTGATTGGTAGCCCAATACTGATTTAATTTTAGGATTTTTATAAATATGGGGCAGTTTAGTTTTAGAAAACATTTTCTGTTTATTTTTTAAAAAATAATTTTCATTTTTAATCTTTTTAAAATTATAAAATATGTTTGGTTAATATAAATAGAAAATTGATTCATAGATAAAAATAATAAAGATTATTAAATAGAAATGAACAAACAGTTATTAAATAATTAAATTATAATTATAATTATTAAAAAATTCCATTACATAAATTTCATACATGAGTTATGAAAATATAAAAAAAAAATTTGATTAGAAATTTCACAATACAAAAATTGTTTTAGTTTATAATAATAATATAAAATTGATGCATATTGGACATCAATTAAATTTTAAAAATAAACTAAAAAAATATTATTGTAAGTAAGAAGACACAAAAGTGTCATTAAAATAAAAAAATATGTTTAGTGGTTCCAAAAACTTTTGAGAAAAATCTAATATAGTCCCTAAACATTTTTTGCACTCAATGCGACTCTTAAATTAAGAAGAAAAAAACAAGGTGCAATTTAACCAGTGGAATGATGCGTTGATCGTCACATCGCATACATGACAATTCACGAAGCTTACATGAAAATCTACAATATTGATGTTGTAGTTCACAATATTGTTATGATAGTACACGGGTGGATGATTATGTGATAAATGAGCTTAATTGTTTTTTTTTGACTAATTTTGAGGGCATAATGATTTTTAAAAAAGTTTGAGGACTTATTTAATTTTTTTTTAAAATAATAAATTATTTAATTTTAAATATAAAATATAAATAATTATTAAGATATTCAATACATTAAATATATACATTATTAAAAAGTTCAGTTTAAGAACCACATTAAGTGTGAAAATATTTTATGGATCATATTGATTTGTCTACAAAAGTTTGAGGGTTTAAGATACCATTAAGTTAAAAAAATTTGTTAGAAGGATTTGAGCTCATGTAAGTTAAGATAAAAATCTAGATCTCATATTTTCTTATTTTCCAAATTTCCAAAACAATTTTAATGGAAACACTCGAAACAATCTTTTTTATGTTTTCATATTTTTACTTATTTTTGTTTTCATTTTTTTATTTTACAACCAAACACGTTGTCTGTTTTCTAAGAAAAAAAACCCTATATTTTCTAGAACCAAACGAACCCGTTATATTTTCAATTTTGCTAATAAATGTCAATTTTATTATTCGATTTAAATTTTGGACCGAGGAAATTCAATTTGAATTTTAAAGTTTTCAGGAGTACTTAAATTCATTCATTTTGTATTTTAATCAATTCAAATTTAAATTGTACTTCATTGTTAATCAAATTCTGATCTTATTAATAGTTGTTTATTATAAAGTTGAAAGCCAACATTTGTGTATTTGTGCTGCCCCCTTGAATTATACATAGAAGTAGAAGATGCTTAAAACTAAAACTAATATGTATTACCAGTAAGTTTGGAAAGGTAAACCCATTATTTAAAATTTTAAAAGCAGATATATATAGCTTAGGTGCATCGACCAATTCCAAAGCCAAGCCTGTCTCTAGCACCATCGTGAACCACTTCTATTGTCTTCTGCTGAGTATTCCCGAATATCGTCCCAGAGGAATCGTCCCTGTTTCCGGCGATCGCTAAGCACACTTGTGACACACCATTAACATAAAATATTCCACTGATGTCTATCGGAACCTCCACGCCTCCACCGAAGAAGAAGCTTATCTTAGGTACAGAAACAGTGGAATATCCGCTAAAGTCGTAACATGTGTCCAGTATCGACAATGGTTTTGTCATAGGATATTGGTTCATTAGTTGCTGGAACGCAGACCTCAGTGCCGAATAAGCAGTCGATGGCAACCGGGTAATGACGGTTCCGGAGTCGATGATGGCACCTCCTCCGGATTCGAAAATAGATGCCGAGATTGATAGTTTTTTACCACCGACGCTTATTCCTATAATGTCGATGCCGTAAAAGGATGTCCCTTGGGACATTGTTGATAAAGGTGTGAACTTTAGGGATTTCGAGAGGCAGCGTCTACCGAACCTGAGGAAACCCGTTGAGGATGGGGATGATGGCAAGCAGTAGGAAAAAAATTTGTTGTATTTTGCAGCGGTTTGTGAGGGCAATGATAGTTTATCTCGGCCAAGTCCTATCAAACCAGCTGCACCACGGAAAAGGCCTCCGTTGTATTGGCCGCAACCGAATAGAAAGTCGTCGAACGCATCCCTCGGTGTCAAGCTGAGCTTTTCTTTAGCAAAGAATCCAACTGAGAAAGAGTTGTCTCCATATTGGATGCCATAGATACAAACCGATGATGAGCAGCCGGGCGAGGTACCTGAAAGGAAAGGATACAAGTGTCATATAATAACATTTCTTTTTCACTAGAATATAAACATAATATCTTAAACCCAAAAATGAGTTGACGGAAAATTACTTGTAGCAGAAGTGAGTGCAGTGCAGGCAGTTGAGGCGCAGGAAACATTGGAATAAGATGATGATAAATAGGGCGAAAAGATTGGATCCTGCTGTTTATAGCAAGACCTTACGCAGGGTTGGCATTGTGTCCATGTGAGGTCACTGCCGGTATCAAATATGAGAGTAAGATCCTTTTTTGGGGTGCCTAGACCCACTGTGACTACATAGTTTCCTGACCCACCACCGTACCGTCCTTGGCTGGGAGATTGGCTACATTAGTCACCTTAGAGCCTAGCTTCTTGGCACGCTTTGACTGAATAAACTTCACCCTGCCCTCGTCTTGGTGGAGGATCTCGGTCGCAGTGGGAATATTTGCTTTCTCTTGATGGAGCTCAGAGCATGGGCCATGCTTGTGGGTGACCCGTAAAGACCACCCGTTGTCCGTAGCTGAAACAAATAAACATATTCAATACCATCAAGTATTTATAATTACTAAAACAGTAGCATACCTTTTGCAGGGCTGCAAAAAGAGGAGGGTAAAAGGGATGCGGCTTGGATGGTATGAGTTTGATGTGGACTGCCCCTGCCATTCCCCTCCTTCAAACACAAGACAATTAGGCTTAGCAAAACAACGAGTTTATTCGCAGAGAGTAAGGTGCCGCCCATGTTTATCTTTCTTGTCTTTTCTCATCCACACCCTCTGCTACTTTATATATACCACTGATCTAAATATTGGATGACCAAATTATATTTAATGTTGCTAGTCAAATTATATTGGAAATCTACATTTCTATTGTTGCTAGTCCAATTATTATTAGAACTGCAACTTCCCAATGAAATAGCATTTGCACCGAAACATATACTACAAATTCAATCATTTATATTTTAATTTTTTCACTGTGTCTAATTTTACATATATCAATAAATTAAATGATTGTAAATCATAAAAAAAAACTCTTAAATTAAAAAAATTATTTAATATATTCATAATACATTATTTATATATTAAACCCTAAAGTTAGCTTATCATATTACGATGCACTTGTGAGGCATGAGTCAACCACTAGAGTGCAAAAAGGAAGAAGTCCAACTAATGGCTGATCCACTAATCGAAAAATTAGGCATTGGAGCATAAACTACCCCCAACAGTTGATGTCAACGCACTTATACACATTTCAACGATGATACTACAAATAATTCTCTTAAATATCATAAATTAAATTGCGTATATAATTATCAACAGGGTTGGTTCAAGTGATAAGTAGCTTGATATCGTTTAAGCAAGATATTGAGTTCGAGTCCTTATGTACATAGAAAATCCCTACTAGGAGACTCACTTAACAAAGTTAGGTGTGCGACGCGGGTCAGTCTGGATTAATCAAAGCGAAGCCTTGAAATCGGGATGACAACCAACAAAAAATTGCATATAGAGTTAGTTGCATCACACGTCTTCAAATTATGACTCTTATTTTAAATTGGTCTCATAAACTTTTAAAGGTTTCAATTTTATCCTTAAGCTATGACTATCATTCTAGATTAGTCCTCAAACTATGAAATTCATTCTAAATTGGTCCCTAAACTTTTTGAATATTTTTTTATTTCATCCCAAACTATATGTATATATTAATCAAATCTCTTGTTAATAAAATCGCAAGGCCAAGTTGTATTTTTATATGTTTGAAAAAAAAAATTAGGTTAAATATAATTGAAACTAATTACATATTTGGATAAATTTGAAGATGAAATTGAGAGATTCAAAAGTTTGAGGACCAATTTAGAATAAGGATCATAGTTTGGGGATGAAATTGACATGTTCAAAAGTTTAAGGACAAATTAAGAATGAGAATCATAATTTGAGGATGAAATTAAAATATTGAAAAGTTTAAGGACCAATTTAAATTGAAATTAAAAAGATTGGGCTCACCCACATTTGCTTTGCAGATGATCTGCTTATCTTCTGTAAAGGGACTACTGACTCTATTAGATCAGCTTTACTCTATGTCTGGGTTGAGGCTGAATGTTGCCAAAAGTGGAATTTTCATAGTTGGGGTCAGTGAGAAGGACTGCTACTGGTTTTCAAGTATGAAGCTTGCCTGTGAAGTGTCTTAGTGTTCCCTTAGTTACCAGAAAGCTTACGGAGAAGGGCTGCATTAGTCTCATTGATAAGATTAGAGCAAAGTTGAATTATGGGCTAATAAACACCTTAGTTTTGCTAGTAGATTGCAACTTATAAGGGTTATTTTATTTGGCATATCTAACTATTGATGTAGACAATTCATTTTTCCCCAGGCTGCAATAAAGAGGACTGAGCAGTTATGCTCTCAATTTTTCTAGAAGAAAGTTGATACTGCTGTAAGGCAATAAATCTGTCTTTTAAGATCTGAGAGGGGGCTTGGTGTCAAAGATATTGATGGCTGGAATAGAGCTTGCATTTTGAAACTGATTAGAAACATCTTGGCTGGTGAGGGCTCTTTATGTGTGGCATGGATCAAGGCTTATGTCTTGAAGGATAAGGTTTTCTGGCATGTTGGTATACCAATTATTGTTAGCTGGTGCTTTAAGAAGATCTTAAAATTAAGACTGAAGGCTCTTCAACTGTTTCATGGAACGAATGTTTGTTCTCTCAAGACCTGTTGTATCTAAAAAGAGCTTAGGGTTAAGCATCATAAGGTCTCTTGACACAATCTTGTTTGGTTCGGGGGCACGTTTCCAAGCATAGCATCATTGTTTGGATGGTCATTCTTGATAGGCTTCTTACCCAAGAGAGACTGTTGAGGATGGGTGTTCATGTGGAAAATCTATTGCGTGTTATCTGTGGTAATAAGTTTGAAACAAGAGATCACTTGTTTTTTGGTTGCACATTTGCCAAGCAGCTGTGGGAAAGCATTATGGCTCTGTGTGACCTTTCTTGTATTGTTAAGAACTAAGAGCATGAGTTTGCTTGTCCTCTGATGCATCTTAAAAGGAAGACTATTCTCATTGTGATTCTAAAAATTGCTTGGGGCTTTCATGTCTATAGCATTTGGGAAGAAAGGAATTATAGGCATTTTCGAAGAAGAGTTTGGTCGATTGATGTCTTGATGAAAGGTAATAAAGAGGTAGTCCAGATTCGACCAAGTGAAAGGAATATTAACAAGATTGATGATATTAATGTCCGACTTTGTAATAGCTGAGGTATCTCTTAGCTGATTGTTGTTGGTTGTTTTTTTTTTTGTTTTCTATGTTATTGTAACAAATGGCCTTTTTTCTTTGGATAAAATAAAAAATGTCTAAGAAAAATATATTGATATGATTATATCAATTAAATCATTTTTTCATATGATTATAATTATATAACAGTTGATAGCAATTTTTTTTTATGTCAACTTAATAATACAATAAACTATATATATAAAATAGAAAAACAAGTTCAAAAGTATAGTTTTATATATAAGATGAGAAAAGATGGTTGAAATAGTAAATAAAATTAAAAGTTAGGTGCAGCCAGCAGTTCCAAAACCAATCCTCCCTGTAGCACCATCGTAGACCACTTCCAATGTCTTCTGCTGTGTATTCCCGAAAATCGCCACAATCGAGTCGTCGCTGTTTTCGGCAAACGCTAAGCACACTTGGGTTTTACCATTAGCGTACAAAATTCCCCTTGCGTTTATCGGAACCTCAACACCCCTGCTAAACAAGAAGCTTATCGTAGGTATTGTAACAGTAGAATACTTGCTAAAGTCATAACATGTGTCCAGTATGGAAAGTGGTTGTGCCATTGGATATTGCTTCATCTGTCCTCGAAATTCAGACCTTAGTGCTGAATAGGCAGTCGGCGGCAACCGCGTAATGACGGTTCCGGAGTCAATGATGGCGCCACTGCCAGCGAAAACCGATGCCGAGATTGATAGTTTTTTGCCACCGACGCTTATTCCGATAATGTTGATACCGTAGAAGGATTCCCCTTGGGGGATTGTTGATAATGTTGTGAAGTTTACAGACTTCGAGACGCGACCGTTTCCGAATCTGAGGAAACCAGTTGAGCTTCGAGATGATGGCAGGCAGTAGGAAAAGATTTTCTTGTATTTTACGGCGGTTTGCGAAGGCAGAGACAGTTTATTTCGGCCAAGTCCTAGCAAACCAGCTGCGCCACCGAAAAGACCTTGGTTGTTTTGTCCGCATCCAAATAGAAAGTTGTTGAACACATCCCTTGATGTCAAGGTGAGCTTTTCTTTAGCAAAGAATCCAACTGAGAAGGAGGAGTCTCCATATTGGATGCCATAAACGCAAGCTGCTGATGAGCAGCTAGGCGAGTTACCTGAAAGCATATATATTAAGAGTGAACTAACATTTCTTTTTCTTGCTCGAGTAAGTTAACAAGTGTCAATTTTGACCAAAGAAAACTACCTGTTGCAGAATTCAGTGAACTGCAGGCCGTGGAGGAGCACGAAACATTGGAATAAGTGGAGGATAAAGCGGGTGAAAAAATCGGATCCTTCTGTTTATAGCATCTTCTTACGCAAGGCTGGCATTGTGTCCATGTGATGTCACTTCCGGTATCAAATATGAGTGATAGATCCTTCTTTGGGGTGCCAAGACCCACTGTGACTATGTAATTGCCTGAGCCGATCAGGCTACCATCCTTGGCCGGGAGTTGGGCCGCTGCATCGGTCTGCTTGGCATTGTTGAGGTCTAGGTTCTTGGCAAGCTTTGAATGAATGGACTTGACCCTGACTTCGTCTTGGAGGAGGATTTGGGCGTGAGTGGGAATACTTGCTTTTTCTTGATGGAGTTGAGAGCATGGGCCATGTTTGTGGACAACCGATAAAGAGGAATCTTTGTCCCAAGCTGAAACTCAACACCATTCATCATAAATATTCATTCCCAAACCATAAAAGCATTAGTACTAAAAGTCCATTCAGTTATATGTTTGGAATTATCATATGATTAGTTCCCTACCGAAAAACCATACATCCTTTGTTAATGTACAGAAACCAGCAGCAATCAGTTCAAGAAACCATTGTAATAATAGCATAATCATTTCATGCAGACATACATAGAAAGAGAGATGATTAACCTTGTGCAGCAGCATCAGAGGTGCAAGCAGAGGAGGGTAAAAGAGAGGCGACATGGATGGTATGAGTATACTGATATTGATGGCTCTCAGCACAGGAAAAGCCCTCCAAAGAGCACACAATTAGGCATAGAAAAAGGAGGAGTTCATTAGCAGAGAGGAAGGCCGGGGGAATGCTAGTGGCGCCCATGCTACACCTTTCTTTCTTTTTCTTATCTTACAATCTCACCCTCCATTATATTTATATATATAGCAGTGAATTATTTATTAAAAAAAATCTACTTAATTATATGTACACCTACCAACTTTTTATAAAATAATTTTACAGACATGAGATGGAAATTTCTTTCATCTATATTTCACTTAGATAGCCTTTGTAAGGTATAGTATGAGCAACGAATGGAGACACAATATATCACTATTTCTTACACGTTATCCTTGAACCCTAAGAACTATTATGTATATAATATCAAATCACAAGCCTTCACGGGAGCAATTTGAACCCTTGGACTTGCAGGATATTGGGTCCCCTCCCCTCCACAACGCTGAAAACTAAAGCCTCAAAGGTTCTTAAAACGAATCATGATAAGCTGACAAGGTTTTTGGGGCCGGATTTTGACAAGTTGGGACTAGGAACCAAACCATTGTTAATTGTTTGTGTTTCAGACATATCTTGATTCTTGTTGGTGTTTGATATGTTCTGTAATGGAAGGAGGAAATCTCTTTTTCCAACCATGGCTTCCATATCCACCCATTGGATATGTGGTTTCTTCTTCTAGCACTTAAGTATATCTTAATGAAGCATTAAAGACACAATAATAAATTACGTAACAAATCAATAAACACTAACTGTTAATGACACAATAATACTTGTTAAAATTTGATTATTTGTGTATTTATTTTTAAGATTCTTTAACGTGATGTTAATTATAAATAAGATACACTGAATTGAGAAAATCATAGACCTTTACAATATCCGATCGACATCAATACAAACACTAAAACTCATGCCACCTAACGCCCTCATTTTGCTTTATCATTAATAGTTTGTTTGGTATGAGTTTTCTAATTAAGTCCTTGTGCCTAACTTGTTTAATTAACCTACAAATCTATTGTATAAAATTACATGTAAACTAAAACACAAATTCAAGTCCTTGTGTAGTTTACCAAAATTAAGGCCTAATGTTGAACGAGTCCAAATTACAGTAAGGCAAGCACTAGCGATAAACAAAATGGAGAAGGGCCGAAACATGCACCTAAACAAAATAATTGAGGAATCCACAACACAAAGGCTTAAAAAATAATTATTAATGTAATTTTACTTTAACCTAACAATCGAAAGAGTAATAATGCATGACCGAATGAAATGTAACATTTCTTTTACAACATTAAATAGTTTTAGGGTGACACTGAAAAACCCAGATCCCGAAGTTTGTTGAATATCAAATATTATCGATAAACATGTAATTAATTACAGATGATTTGTTATTGTGGAGTGGAAGGGAAATTGATGGGTTTGTGCACATCTCTTACAAAAGAATATGAAGGGATAGGGTTTTGTATGAACAATGGATGGTGGTCCAAGGGCCATATAAGTAATAGTGGGGAACGCATTAAGCAGGGTGAATTCACGAGATAATGTTCTCGATTTTTTTTATTCACGATATAATGCACATTTCAGATTAATTGCTGGTATAGGGTGAATTCTACAGTGAACTCGTAGGACGCCATGCAATCCAGGCGACCTTGTAGGACGCCATGCAATCCAGGCGACATACGGGAGACATACGAGTGACATACGAGCCATACAAGCCATATACTCACCATGCAGACGAGCCATACAAGCCATATACTCACCATCACCATGCAGACGAGCCATACAAGCCATATACTCACCATGCAGACGAGCCAGCCAACGGAGAGGTCGCCATGCAAAGGAGTCAGCCAATAGAGAGGTCGCCATGCAGTCTGGGCGACCTTGTAGGTCTCCATGTAGTCCCGGCGACCTTGTAGGTCGCCATGTAGTCCCGGCGACCTTGTAGGTCGCCCCGGCGTCCCCTGCCTCCCGAGACCATGCATGCACATGCAGCCAAATAACTTCACGTGCTCCTGCTCCCCGCTGCATGCCTGCATGCATGCCAAGATAACTTCACGTGCTCCTGCTCCCCGCTGCATGCCTACAGCATGCCATGTGATCCTAGCTCACGAGACCATGCATGCACAATAATTGAACCATTGTTGGTGAAATAATTGAGGCAGCCGGTTATATATGGGGTGTGCAAATTGCAAGAACATAAAAGAAAGATCACACATAAAAGAAAGAAAGAAAGGGAGAAGAGATTGCAGCCGAGAAAGAAAGAAAGGGAGAAAGAAAGGAAAGTAAGAAGAAGAAAGGGAGATAAGGTAAATTTGTTTATATTTAAATTAGTTTATTATTATAAATGTTAATTAGTTTATTAGTTTAGGGTTATATGATTGTTAGTTTAAGTTATAGTATACATAAATTAAAAATTATTTAATTAGTATATGTTTGATAGTTATATAGTTAAAAAATAATTAATTAGTTTGTTTTGTTAATAGTTAGTTATATAAAAAAAATTATTTAATTAGTTTTTGTTAGTTAAATAGTTAAGTTATATTGTTTGTTGAATATATATATAAAAAATTAGTTAGTAAGTTTATTAGTAGTATATTATAATGAAAAAATAGTTTATTAGTTAGTTTTAGTTATATAAAAAAATATTTTATTAGTTGTTTAAGGGTTTGGTGTTTACGTTTAACTTATATTTTAAAAAGTTTAGTTTGTTAGTTTATTAGTTTATTATATTATAAGTTATTATATTAAAGTTTAGTGTTGTAAATTAGTTAGTTAGTTTATATTAGATTATATTAAATGATTTTTTAAATATTGTTGTTTAATTTTTTTTACAGATTCATTCCAATGGCTGACCAAATTCCACTGTTGAGGCTTGACAATGAACATATTTCAAGTCATTTGGGAATAATGGTGAATAAAATATTTGTTTAATGAATTATAATTAATAAATATTTGAATATTATTTTATGATTGTGATAATTTTTTTGAAATATTTAATTGTAGGAGGACGAGCAGCGAGTCCTTCGTCTTCGACTACATAAAGTGCCCAAGCCACACCCACTAATAGAAGAAAATTTGCAAGAGGCTGGATTTTGGTATATCACATTTGTGCGAGATTACAAGTTGGTCCCAGGTTTGATCAGTGCGTTGATTGAACGCGGAGACCAGAAACGCACACGTTTCATTTGCCGTGTGGCGAATGCACGATAACTTTGGAGGATGTGGCAATGCAACTCGGGGTCCAAACTAATGGGATGCCGGTGGTAATGTCACATGAGTTTAATAAGGTGGAACAACTTTGCAACTTGTTTCTTGGGAAAGCGCCCGTACCACCAGAGTGTAAAGGGTGGCGGGTGAGGTTGTCATGGTTGAAGAATGAATTTCAACTTCAATCAAATAGTACGGAGCACGAAATTATATATGCAACACGAGCATATATATTACAATTGATTGGGGGAATTTTGATGCCTGATAAATCCGGTAGTTATGTTCACACTCAGTATCTTCTTTTTTAACAAATTTTGAGAATTGTAGGCAATATAGCTGGGGTTCGGCGATATTGGCGTTCTTGTATCGTGAGATGTGCAAGGCGTCATTAGTCGTGAATGATAATAATACAGTAGAAATCGGTGGATGTCTGTTGCTTCTACAATCATGGGCTTGGCATAGACTTCCGTTTTTGACACCGATTAGTCGGACTGCGGTTAACTTTCCACTTGCCGGAAGGTAATATGAATCCTCTATTTTAATATAAAATATTAATTAAAAATATTTATTTTGATTAAAATTATTGAACAAAATGTCTCTATTTTTGTTTTGATTGATATACAGATGGAGGCATAAAATTGAAGGCACAGGGTTGGTGCACAACAACATTAAAGAGTTCAGGTTGAAGATAGACATTAAGGCCAAAAAGGAGGTATGCATAATTTGTATTTTTTAATTATTATTTAAATTAACTATATTATCTAATTTAAATAAATTTTATTGTTTTTGTAATTTTACAGTTTAATTGGAGACCATACATGAATGAAGAATTATTTGCGTTGATACCGCACGATATTTTAGATGGGTTTCAATATTGGTGTGCTGTTACACCATTGATCAATTTTGCTTTTGTTGAGATCCAATTTGGGGATAGAGTGTTGAGGCAATTCCACTTCCACCAACCTATTCCGCGGAGTCCATGGGATCATGACCTCATCCAAAACTTAGATGGTCGTCGTCCAGTGAATTGGGTTGAGACACATGACGACCTGCACAGATTTGATGGTCGTCGTAAAGAAAGCGTTAATTGGGTTGAGAAGCATGCAACCTACATTAATGCTTGGAACAATAGGGCTTCATTCATGCCTACAGAAGTTGACCTTCTTCGTCATATGCGGGCATGGTTTGAGACTTCACTATAGTTCCTGGGATAAATCGCTTCATTGCTTGTAGAAAATGTGGTAGCTCATTGTACGATGTATCCCAATCTCCATACGTCAACTTCATTGCCTTCATTTTCGCATTCCACACCTTGCCATATTTTACTTGATATCCAAATTGGCTTCGAATAGATGCAGCTAACACTGAACAAGATATCCTTGGATCCTTTTCAACCATCGCCTTCACGTATTCACATATTACATCGGAGTCCAATAGTCGGTGGTCTTGTTCGATGGAGTTTCGCAAACATGTGTGCGAACCATTGTACCTCGTGATGACCCAAACATCGTGCCTTTGATTTTTCGACACTCTGATCTTCCACTTGCACTCTGGGCCATATTTTACACACTTTGCGTATAGGGTTTTCTGGTTGGACTCTGCAACATGGACATCAACATGGCATTTGATGCAGTACTCTTTAATCGCCAGCGTAGCTTCATTTTTTCCTCTGAATTGCACCCCAACTGAAAATTCACCAGAATTATCGAATGATTCAGTCATTTGGTACGGAGGTAAATGTGGCATGTCTGGGAATTCAGGTGCCCTCATTGCATCATAGTCTATCTCGTACATGTGAGGAGTAGCTTCATACGGTGCCGGAACTTCATCAATTGCACCTCCACCAAAAATATTTTCGTCGTCGCCCAAAACGGGTTCTTCGGTTTCTTCATCTTCGCTTGAATCATCGTGAATTTCTCCCCATCGATTTTCAGCGTCAATATTAACAACCAATTTCGATATGTTTCTCGTCTCATACTCTGCTGTTGCAGATGTCCCCCCGACTTCATTTACACTTTCCAATAGTGCCATAAAACTGTTCGGGAACCTGTACGTCGGCTCCTCAAACTGACTATATAAAGCCATTTCAGATGGATTTTGAGCCACACCTCTTGATGACCCATGAACATCACATATGTTACACACATCAACAAATAACTCAATAACTGCTATATTGGTTGACTCATGTAATCCAACCATGGTTCCAATATCATCATCTTCTTCAAGTGGAACTGCAGCATATCTGACTGGGTTGGGGCATATCATAAACCTATACCTCAAACCATCAACTGCAGCTCGAATTTTTCTTTCTATCTTATGCTTCATTTCTATAAATGTGATGTCTTTTTTGAACATCATATTTATTGGTTTTTCAGACTGAAAAGCTACTCCGACCTCATTTTCCATAATCTGTCCATTATAATGGACAATCGTGAAAAGTTGTTGCTCATTTTCTCTACAAATAAAAAAATAAATTAATTTAGATTAAAATATTAGATAAGATAATTTCATAAAACATTAAATCATTAAATATAATATAATATACTATTATATTATATTAATGATCAAATAAAATTTGTTATTTTAACTTGATTAATTGATTAATTACTAATATTATTAATAATGATTTAATAATTATTATTAATCTAATGATTTGATATTTAATGATTTAATAATAATATGATTTAGTCATGATTACTAATAATTATTTATTATAAATATTTAATGATTTAGATTTGATACTAATTATTTAGTTATTATTACTAATAATCATGATTAGTTTGATAATTTTTTTTATTTTTTAAAAATATCAAACAAATTTGTTGGCCGGATTATTTCATTCAATTAATTTTTACTCCTTACTAATTTACACATACAATATAAAAAACAAAATATTTTTTTTAAACAACACTAAATATTTTAAACACAATATAATTTTTAAACAAAAATTATCTCGCACAAATTAGTTTATATAATCTAATATAAACTTACTATCTAACTAATTTACACATACACAAGAACAAAAAACAGACAACAAAAAATAATAAATTACTCACGTATTTATGCCTTCCTCCTTTCCTTTCTTTTCCTTCTTTGTTTCTTTATTCGAATCAATTTCAACATGGGCAAATGTTGTGGAATAATGCCCTGTATGTGTAAACCGTTTAATTTATTTAAACAGCAATAGCTCCCACAAATTAATTTTATATAATCTAATATATTATAATATAACTTAAACTAATAAACTATTTCTTTATTATAATATAACTTAGTTAAAATAACACACTAATTAAGCACTAATTAATTTTTTTATAATATAACTTCAACTTCAATGAACAATCTAATATATGTTTAAAGACACTAACAAATTAATTAATATTTTTTTATACTTAATAACTTAAACTAATTAACTAATTAACTAATTAACTAATTTTTTATATATAATATAATATATAACTTAAACTAACCAACTAATAATTTATACTAACAAACTAATTAACTAGATTTTAGTTTTACCCTAAACCCTAAACTAACAAACTAATAATTTCATATAATAAACTAAATTAAACAATAAAAAATTACCTCACAAACTATGTTTGATCCTTTATCTTATTTTCTTCTTCTTCCTTTTCCTTCTCTCGGCAAAGTTTATACGTGCTTATGCTTATACTCCTGGTTGTTCTTCTCCTTCTATCCTAAACCCCATATCATTTATATAAAGCAAAAAATCGTTGTACAAAGTCTTTAAAATTTGACTATTGAATAAAATATTATTAGGATTGAATCGTATAACTATTGAGCATTGAAAGTCTTCAATTGAACAGCAATATTTGCTGTATTTAACAGCTAAATTAACGCTGCAATCATACAGCTATGGATGCAACGCATGCAGCTACGGATGCAGGAATCTCCCAGCTAGCTATGGATGCAACGCATGCATGAGTGATACAGTTAAAGCTTGGTCGTTGCATGCATGAGTGCTACAGTTAAAGCTGGGTCGCGATGCAGGAATCTCCCTATGGAGACTCCATGGCGACCTACCACCTACCCTACCACCTACCATGTCGTCGGGACTCCATGGCGACCTACCATGTCGCGATGTCGCCGGCAACCTAGAACCGATCCTTGGTCGCCCCGAGTGCCCCATGCATGAACTGATCCTTGGTCATCCTTGGTGCATGGCCCATGCAGAGGTTTGCCGAGATCAGACCACGTGAACAAAGCGCATGCGACCTATCCCATGCCTCGTGCATGGCCCATGCATAGCACCAAAGCAGCATCAGCGAGCAACAGCGGCCACCAAAGCAGCAAATAATGATGGACGAGCAACAGCGGCCACCAACAGCGGCCACCCCAAAGCAGCGGCCACCAACAGCGGCCACCCCAAGCAAATAATTATCAGCGGCCACCAACAGCGGCCACCCCAAGCAAATAATTATAGGACGCCGGGCGTGCATGGCGTCCTTATAGGACGCCGGGCGTGCATGGCGTCCTTATAGGACGCCGGGCGTGCATGGCGACCTATAAGGACGCCGGGCGTGCATGGCGACCTATGTTGCCACTGTAGAATTCACCCCATTCGAGCAATTAATCTGCCCAGTGCATCATCTCGTAAAATATTTTTTTTGAATCCATTATGTCGTGAGTTTTGCCCATTAAGCATAATTAGAATGTTGAGGCAGAGATGACGTTAATAGTATCATCCTGTTTCTGTTTGTAGTGGATGGTGGTGGGTAAGAGACCTCCAATCTCTCTCACAACCCCATAGCCACACAAACCAGAGTGATGGGTTAACCACTCATCATCATCTTATTAGTTTTTTTATTCCTTCCATATACTATATATTATTGGTTCTATGAGAATACAACAAACCTGTGTCTTTTAATCATGCCATGCCGCACGACATCATGGGAATGCCCTGCCCCACCTCCTGAAAATTTGATTCCATTTAAAGCCATTTGATGACAATGATATATGCCCACATACGTTTAAGAAGTAGGAACAATTTTGTTAGATAGCTTTTGGAAATTTGGATTTGGAACTGTAAAACTAAAATAAGGATGAATCAACCTAGAAAAGATAGTCGGCAGGTTGCTTCTGTATCTTATAAACTTTACAAGAGTTGTAAATGAGAGATATAGCAGGAAATTGGCATTCCCTCATGGGTTAAGTATTTCATTCTTGGTTAACATAACTTACACATCATAATCTTTCCTCTTATGTTTCACTACTTGGATGAGCAGTTTAAGAGGGAAAAATGGGCACATCTTAGTTTACCCTTCCAAGAGCAGCAATAGGTGTAGGCTGCCGCATCATTACCAAATTCATCAAAGCTGACTTCCCATGCTTTCTGTTCAAAAGTAATACTCCCATCCAAGCCTTTTTATCTTGAGAACCTAACCGCCAAAATGGAATCTTACCCTAGACCTGTTGAAAAACTTCAATGTTGAAACCAAATGCTATGTCAATATGACAAATCAATCAATCGCTACACCTGAACTATGCATCACCAACTACACTGCCTCCCGGTATTGCCATAACATACCTATTTTCCGACTAAGATCTGAACGAGAGAAATGATGTAAACATTGGAGCAGTTACAATGGCTGACAGTAAATTACAAGTCCTTGCAACTCCCCAATGTACTCAGATGCTGAAACTCAGTCCTTTGATGTAAAAGATACGCCTACAGATCAAGGAGAGAGAGAGGAAAAAAAACTACAAAAATACCCATTAACAAATCTTTCACGTCAGAATTTTCGGTTTTTGCAACTTAAAAGCACTTTTTGGTTTGGAAATCGTAATGCTTACAAATAATAGACATTTTCTCCGCAAACGATAGCAACGGAAAACCATAGTGACGGCTTATGATTAATCTTAAACATTCCAAAAGTGGAAGCTCATGGCTTTCAATTTTCTAATGCATTACGTAGTACAAGAATATAGGGGTACAAAATTTCTGTGTCGAACTAGCTCATGAAGGTCATGGACAATCTTGAAAACTGCGTCGGGCCTTGCCAACTTCAGAGCATTTTGAGACATGCTCTTCAGTTCATCTGCTTTTGGTCCAAACCATTGGGCAACTATATTGGCTATCTCTTTTGGTGACTTGGAAAATTTCCCACACCCATTCTCCACCACATATGGAACATTCCCAACTTCCTGCACAATCAAAGCAGTGGCAAAAGTTAAGGAGACTCCATCGACAACTCAAACAGTGGCATTGACTTACTAGTAGTACTACTTAACCCCACAACATTATGGAATAAAAGTTTACAAAAACCGAGGATGATTAAGCAAGGACACGATCTCTCGGTTTTGTGATGTTCCTAGTGGGAGGTACACACCCACAAGAACCAGGTTGCCCATGTTCGTATCTCGCATGTGAGCCAAACGAGTAATCAGGTTGCCAGTTGCCTAGCCGACCTAGGAATTAATTGTAATGATTCATTCTGTTTTAATCATGATTATCCTACTGCTTTTCTTTGCTTGGCCTTTGTACTTCATGACGTTATTAATTTGATGCATTAATAATCAATTATCCTTTGTCAAGGAAAACCAGACTACATGGTTTTGGAGATATGATGCTGGTTCTTCCGGTTGTAAATACAAACTTATGCATTATGATGATCTATACCATCTAACACTTTAATAAGGCAGACATGAGAGGGCCCTTCCTCAGTGTGTGTGTGAGTGAGTATTAGTAATATGCACGGCAAAAATACCAGTAAACCATATTCATTTTTTACCTTAATTAGCTTATGAATCTTCTTTCCTCGTTTACCATATAGATTTCAAGATGTTTAGCCTACTGTTTGGATATTTAGTTTAGACAACTTATGCAATATTCTAAGAGCAGAAGTACACTATTTAGATACATGGAATTTTGTGGAGATGTTAATAAATAAAACCTTTGAAGAAAACATGCGATACCCTCTGAAAAAGAACCTTTCTGTATTCCACTTGAAAAAGATAACACATAAAAGTGAAAAACAAAAGGAAGTTACCTGCCCAGCAATGTAACCATTCAAAATTATAGGAAGACCTCGAATCATTGCCTCAGCAATAGTCCCCGGGCCAGCCTATTTAAGCAAAAGTCATTCAATATTAAGAAAGTACATTACATGCATCCACATACAATCTTAGCAGTTAGAAAGCTACCTTTGTAATAATGCAGTCACAAGCACCCATGCATTCCTCAATTTTGGAGACAAATCCATTGACCTATAAGATTGTGCAATTTCAAAAACTACCATATACAGTTTCACATGCTTAATGCAGATAGAAATATGCTTAACAAGCCAATCGCATATTTAAACTAATTGATGGATAATATTTGACAAGTCTTTCTCAAGTTTCTAGAGAAAGGCATCTCAATAGGAATTATAAGTAGAAGACATAAGAATTCAAAGTACTCTTACAAATTAAAACACACAAAGGCCGTCAATACCTGGACAGGAATTTTCCACTCGATTGAAAGCAATTTGCTGGCAAGCTTTTTGTTACGGCCACAAATCACAAGAACCTGGCCTATCGGCTCCCCAAGGTTCTCGTCATATAATGCATTTCCAAGTGCACGAGCAGTTGCCTCAATGGGACCCATTCCTTCTCCTCCTCCCATCAGCAAAACAGCAGGAAGACCAGCATCCATTCCCAATTCTCTCCTCAGCTCAATCTACAATTAGCAAAAATTAAATAATCATTTGATCCTACGAGCCAATGAAAGATGAATAGGCAGAGATTTCAACATAGACAATAAACTTGTCCAGTATTGCAGTAGCATATGAAACAAAAAAAGTGGTCTAACAGAAACCTGAAAAGAGAAAAGCTTGGGACAATAGTGTTCTTAGAAAAGTGATTAAACAAAAAGTTCGACAAACCTTCGGCCGAACAGGCTTCACAAAAGAAGGTCGCACTGGAAGGCCGTAAACCTTAATTTGGGATTGTTGAAGTCCAGCTTTCAATGCCCTTTTTGCTACTTCTGCTGTTGGGCAATAGCATCTTGTTACAAGTTTATGAAACCTAGAAAAGAACATACATGTCCGAAATTAGACCAAGAAAAAGTGAGTTCTGAAGCATAAAACTAAGAATGAAAAACTAACCATGTAGGATGGCAAGTGCTTAAGTCAGTGACCACCGTGGTAAAAACTATCTTCTGCAGTAGACCCTTTGCCCTCAGAATACGAAGTGGGACATGCTGCATCAGTGGATGTACGCTGATAATAATGTCTGGCTGGTATTTCATCAACCCTTTGGCAACCTCTCTATAATAAGTACATAACATAACAGAACCGGGTAAATATATGCATAAAACAGATAATTCCTTTTGTGTCCCTGTGTCTTTTGCATAAACACAAGTATGCATGCTCGTATGAAAAAACTTAAAATTTACAGCATAAGCCTTCACATTAGATGAACAAGGTGGAAACAATTATCAATAGAACCTTGTTGAATGGTGATCATGTACAAACTACAGTTTGTCAGTATGGTTAAACATATAGGAAACAATGTAAAAGCATCTCACCTAGCTATGAACGTTGAAGTTGCAGCAAAATTGGATTGATGAACCACCCGAGGAGCAGTTCCATAATAAGTCATTCTCCATAATGACCCATGTTTAACTAAGAAGTTATAGCTCTTTGGTAACTGATTAAATGGCCAGGGTGTATGATCCGACCACAAATCAGTAACAAACACCTGCAACATAAATATATGCAAACACTAAATTGTTTCTGCAAATCTTTAACCAAATGATAAGAAATAGAAGGTAATTAAAATGATAGCGACACCTGGTAAAAGAATTAGGCTATATTGGTTTCTACTTTTGCCCAATGCCCATGTTTTCTTTGCCACCAAACAGAAAGGGAACTGACCTGATAATCGTCTCCAAATTCCTCATTAAAAGCAGCCTTAATAGCTTCAGCGGAGGCTCTATGACCCCCACCAGTATCACTCATCAAAATCAAAACTTTTTTTGGGGTCTCAGCTTCGACTCCATTTAAAGGCAAACCTTCAGCCTCCAAAACGCCGCCGCCACCATCTTCTCTCACTCCATTGCTATCCTCGGAACCAACCCGAACCGAAGCGAACCCAATCGGGATTCTTTCACAATGAAACTTGATCGCCCTATTAAACTCATTCATAATTCTCCCAACACTCGAGGAAACGCTGTTACGAGCACCCAAACTGAGCGAAGCAGCCGCTGTAACACGTCGCCTTTTATGAGCAACCGAGCCTATGAGCCCTGAGAAATACATGTGATTCTGTTTAAATGAAGAAAACCCATCTGAATTTGAGCTGTATAAGATCCTGTTAAACGCTAAGTGACCCATTTGCGTGACGAGATCAATGGCATGGCCGGATTCTTGGGTAACCTTAGAAGGGTTTTGCATTTTGGAAAGTTTTATTTCTACAGTGTGGATGACATGATAGTCTTTGTCTCGGATAAGAACCAAAACTCGTTGATTTATATGGAAAAAAAAATAGTAGGTGAAAATGGAGATTTTGTACCCACGGACACACAGATTGGAAAATGCTTTGTTCTTGGTTCCTACTCTGTGCTTTAAAAGTAACCGGACCCACGTGATTTGGCTCGGGTTTGATTCCCACTTGCCCCAGTTAGACTAATATATAACCGATCATTTAAATTTATAAGGTAATTTACTCCGAATGTAATTAAATTTTAAGATTTATGTTTATTGTGTCATTAAATTTTAAAATAATTTGCATTTAACTCCACTATAAATATTAAACATTTAAATGATTAATAGTAGGATGATGAGTTAATTTTTTTCTCGTTAAATTTAATTCGTACATCAATTTTATCACTAAATTATATAACATTTTAACTGGAAATATTGAATTTGAATTTACATATCATTTTGATCCTTGTAAATAATCTTCAACTCTTTCGATCATTATTTGGTATATTCATCATCTGATGTCATTCGCGATAAGACGATATTAAAATATTTGTGTTTACTCATTTTTCTTCTCATAATTTTCATGAAACTCACTTAACTTTTTAGTACAGTTCGACAATAAACCAATAAGATTATTTTTTTGGGTATATGTAGTAATTGATATAGCAATACGATACCGGATACCAAGCATGGGTAAGTCATTTGGGCCGGGTGAGTACTCATGATGATATTACCTTTTCGAGTTTGGATCACGTTAAATACATGCAACAATTAAAAAGAGCATTTCTCACAAGTTGACTGCACCTATGACCTAGTTTCTGCCTAACTCCCTCCACAACCCATCAATTCATAGTTCCGTCCACAAAGTCAACCTACTCATTCACGAGCTATATTAACAAGTTATTATATTTTAATTCATAGGTAGGAAAAAAACACGTGAATTACATGCAAGCCGTAGTTTAAATTCTTAGTCATTGTTAACGTGTAGTCAAATCAGCGCATGTGGCATCCGTTGCTTTATGTAAGAGGGGAAAGTGGGAAGGACCGACCAATTTGAGTGTTGGGATGTTTCATTTCATTTGACCTTGGGTACCCAACTTGGGTTGCCCGTGAATTTGATAAATATTGATTTGCCCCATTAAAACAATTCTTGTTGGGCTTTAACACTCAATTGGAGTAACATCTTTAAAAATATATTGGCAATCGATTAACTATTGAAAAGTGATAGTTGGTTCTTTTATATATATTCAAGTTATTTTTCATATTAATTCTCGTGATTCAAGATTGTTGTCCAAAATGCACTTGAGAAATTAACCGTTAATCATCCTACCTGGTAATGATAAAGCAAAGAAAGCGGAGGTCAATTTATAACGGAAGTTTTCTACGGAAGCTGTTCTCAACCTGACGTTGGAGTAGCCTACTACCTTACCTCCCCCTTACCCCATTACATATGGGAATAGGGTCAGCTAATTTTTTTTGTATACGTATTATATCAACAAGTAATGCAGTTCAAATCACCGTACGACACGCAGAATTGCATCAACATATACGCGGTTCCATGTATCCTGCTCATGCACATGCTTACAGTGTTTTTCACCTCATCTCGTTTTCTATCTCCAATAATCAACCTTACTCATTTATAATCTTGATAGGATTATATATATATATATATATATATATATATATATATATATATATATATATATATATATATATATATATATATATGATAGAAGCCGCTAATTTTATTAATAATAGAAAATATTCAAATTACAGTGAAGAATTACAACTAAAACCGTAAACTAAATGCATAATAAGAACAATTTCCTAAACACAAAATCTATCCACTTAAGATCACACAATGAAAGAAAAAGGTTAAGAAACATACCCAAATAAACTCGAACAAAACGTAGATACGAACAGATCTGACTGTATCGGTAAACGAACCAATAAAGGAGATGAAACTATTGAAATACCACTGACAAACTGCAAATCAGAATCGAGCAACGTGAAAATACTATACACGAAAGCAAACCGCGTATCCAAATTTAATATGATAGTCCAAAGCAGGGAAGATCAACATGATAACAAATAAGTTTCATCTTGATCAGTCGTGGCGATGTCAAATCCAACACTGAATAAAGAAAAAACAAAAACAACAACCAAACAATCGAAAACATGTCATAAAGGCAGATAAAAACGTGTCATAAATGCAAAAGAAAGCGTGTTATAAAGACATAATTATTAAAAGTAAAAAACAAGAAAAAACAAAAATATGCTATAATAAAAAAATCAATAAATACCGACAGTCGACGATCAACTCTAATACTTGTGTCGCCACCGATCACCAAAAAAAACTAACGGTAACTAGGAAAAAGAAAGAAAAATAAGGCAAATCCTAATAAACGAGTAATTGATTTATATATTTTTAAGTCAATTTAAACCCCAACATTCTAATATTTGAAATCTTAAATTAATAATTTATTATCCTTTGTAGTTCCTAATGAATGCGATAGACAAAGATTACATATTTGATGATAAATTTAAAAGTTTGGTGATAAAGGATAAGGTACACCTTTAAACTGTATTCATGTGATTTGTATACGCAATGCCATTTACAATTAAAGTCAAACCAAAAGTGGAAAAACAAGGATGCAATCATTCCGGTACCAAGATATGGAGAATACGAAACCAAACAAAGCCTAATCGGGTTCAACGCCAAGAATCCAATGCATTCATGATTTTATCTTGTATTTCAAAAAATAATTATAATTATTATTTAATCATCTTTGAATAAAATTTTATACATGTTCTTTTCACCTACAATAATAATGTCACAAAATATAGTTATATTTATTAGTGTTAAACTAACATGTTATATGCTAATCAATTATAAATTTAAACAAATTTAAACAAACATTTGGGGTATTATTCATGACTTTTTAATAATTTTATACTTCTTTTAATTCAATTTTTTGTTTAATTCCATTTTTTCAATTTTGTAATCATTTAATTCTCTTTAGTACATAAAATGGAATTAAGGGAAAATACAAAAGATAACCATTTAAATAATACTATCTCATATAAATAAATACACTATAGAATGAGTTCTTAAAAATTACAAATTATGAGTTAAAACTATAATAATAATAATAAATTATTAATATTCACTTGTTTTTTTAACTGAGTCCTTAATATTGTCACTGAATACATTTTTGCCATCAATTGTTTTTATCAATACTTATTATATGAGGTTCATTACTAGGATTTTTTTTCCTTCAAATTTCCATGGATAAGCCATTCCCAGTGGGTGCAGGCGAAAAATATATATAATGAAGCATGCAAATTATCAAGAAATCAAGCAATACCAAACTCTCCATCATAATTAAACAAAGATACAACCACAATAACAGCACTTTTAACCTACAAATGATTAAAAGCAAAAACAACAACTTAAACACATAGCCCTAATCTCGTTTTTCCTGACTAGGTGAAGTAAGCGGAAAAAGAGTCAAGAGCTCCGGTGATCGGTTTCCCCTAGGTGTGTTTGACGTTGACGGGTGCAAGTAAAAACCCTTATCTGCAATCGCCTTTTCCTCTTCCGAAACCGCCGGAGACGATGGTGATAAAGTACCAGAACTCGAGTAAAAGAGTGATTCAGACGACCCTAGTGGTGTCACCGGCGATTCAAGCAGGCGATCCTGGAAGAAGCAGGCGCATTCACTAGGGTAGTTACGTAGAGTTGTGAGACCGAGTTTGATCTCGAGCTTTCTCATGCTGTGTTGTTGCCTACGCTCTTGGAGCTTGAACGGTGGACGGATCGGAGGCGTTGGGTGGTCACCGCCGTGTGAGGATGTTTTCGAGGAAACCCTTCCAGGGAGAGTTACGGGGAGCTTCTCTGTGTCGTTGGTGAACCCTGTGAGTTTCTGGACCAGGTCTTTGAAGGTGTTTGCATCAACCTCGACGAAAGTTGTTGGCGTTTGCGTTGAAGGTATTGGGTTGAGGTGCTTTTCCATTTCAAGCACACCAAAATTTTAAAAAGAAAGAATGATAATAATTAGCTTTAGGGAAAGAAAAATATAAACTGGTCTCAGATCAAACAAGGTGAAGTTAATATGTTTGATTGCTTTATAGACAAGAGAATGTTTGATGGAATGTTTGTGTTGTTAGGCACGTTATAGTTACTTTCATACCCTTTCCCTCTTTCCCATGCAATTTTATTTATTTATTATTTTTTTGAATTAATCATTGGTATTCGACTTATTGACAGACTAATAAAATATTTTAATTTAAATTTGATTTATTTTAATTTTTAAATTTAAATATTTAATAAATATTTTTCATTTTATATATTAACTCTTAATGTTTTATTTTAATTTCATTCATACCGACAATAACCTTATCATATAATAAAATTATTAATTTGTACCGGTTTACTCATACCCAAAGGCAATATCTTGTCGTTAATTAAAATATTAAACCTTTTGATGAGATGGAGGGCTTTATCATAATTAATTTATTCTTCTTTTTGTTGGGTGATGTTTGTTATGTGTTAAAAGTCTTTGATCCAAAAACGGCATTAAATATAAAATGAGTTGAGCTTTATTACAAGTAAAGTCAAAGTGTTGGAATTATCACCACGTTTTGATGGAAAAACTTGTAAGCCTCTTGTCACACACACCCAAACGATAAATATAAAATTACGGAATAAGTTTTCGTATCGTGTCGAGTTGAAAGAAATTAATTTGATCATTTTATTTATAAAGAAAAAAAAACCTAATAAATTTTGGAATCACAATCAAGTTAATGATGAGAAGCTGGAGATTAAAGGAATACTGAATGGTTTTTGTTTTGAAGTTGTTGATTTGTTAAAATTGGTAGGGAAGGTTCAGTGGTTGCTATCAGGTGGCTTGGTTAAGTAACACATCTCTTCATACCATCCTCCTTTCTACTTACAAGTAAAACCCTAAGTGCCATCGAGGTTGGAGTTGGTGATCACACAATATCAAACAGGAGCATGCTTCCCTTTGCTTGCCATGTTAATATATGTCGTGTTATAGACCCCATGAAAACCCCATCTTACCCACACATCAATGATAAGGTAAGCATGATAGTTGAGTATAATTTTAATTTAATACATGCAACTTATTGGATTAATTCAAGTGTTTAACTACACTACTAATGGTTCTGTTAATTGATTTGTTGGTGACCAGATAAAGATGGAGCAAGTTCGATGATCCCTGAAAATAGGCTGGGCAAGATGGGCCAGTTGGCGGGGATCTTTTTAAGCTATAAATAAAGGTCCAATTCCCACTCAAAAACACATCTTCTCTTATCTTTTAGATTGTTGATATTGAATCTGATCCAGGACCCTATGAGGTTCAATATACACTAAAAAATTACGATTAACATCTCTGCATGTTAACTGATGAGCATCGACGGACTTGATCATCATTGGAAATCATTTAAAAATACTGGAATTATTAAAACAAATACATTTATGAGAATTAAATATATAAATATATTTATAAGAAATTTTTAGGGGAGAAATCACAAACCCACCGATCTCTTCTGCGTTCTACTAATCTTTCTTCCTTTCTGCTACTGCTGATGAAGTTCAAGGTTAGCTTTCTATGTATGTTTTGACTTCCTTGCACGTATATGTTTTTTTTAACTATCAATATGTAATTAATTAATCCTTTCAATTATTTTCATTCATAATTTGAATATATTTAAAAAATCTGATATTTCATTCGATTAAATCTGCCGGTTGTTGATTCATATGTGATTTTTCTACTACGAGTGAGAGTAACACTTATGCTTAGTTATGCTTAAAAAAAATGAGATTTTGGATCGAAACAAGGAGAGAAAAAGGGTCTGAAGTTTTGTTTTTGGATAAACTACATAATTCTTCGCTAAACTATACTCTCTCTCATATTTCATCAATTGTACTTTTAATTTTTTAATTTATTCACTGAACTTTTTAATTGTTTATATTTTGATCGCTCTGAATTATTTTATTATTTTTTGATATGATGTGTGTTGAGTTAATCGACTGACGGAATCGGCCAAGAGGGAGTGAATTGGCAATAAAAATTTTGGTGGAAGCTTTTGCAGAAAATTGAAAGAAATTGCACAGCGATTTAGAGTGGTTCGACTTTATCAACCAAAGTCTACGTCCACTACCTTAGCTATCCACACTAAGGATTTCCAACAAATTCACTAATTTGTTCTTTCTTTTGAGGCCAAAGAGATAACCTTACAACTCCCTCAAGAATATACCCAAATTCTTGAGAACACTCTTTTCTCAAAGAGAAATACAAATTTGCAAACTTACAAGAAAAACCTCACAAGGCAAATATGTTTGCACAATTCTAGAACAAAGAAAGAACACTCAAGAATAAATACAATTGAGCACAATAAGTGTTCTTGAAAGCAAAATGAATATTGAATTAAAAATAGGCTTGAAATGCTCAAACTTGAGGTTTGATGCTTTCTCTTTGATTCTCTCTTGATTCTAGTTGCTTGATGTTTTTTGTTTTTGATCAATGGCTTCTAAGCTTGCTTAAATACATCTTGAATCATTTCTGAACGTTGGGAATGATTAGAGAAGATATTATAGCCGTTTTAGTGTGAAAACAATTAATAAAACAACTTGGAGCGTGGGGGGAATCGGTACCCCCTATGGGGAATCGGTTCCCTAAGTGTAAAATTCAAATATTTCGACTGTTATACAAGAGGGGAATCGGTACCCCCTGGGGGGAATCGGTTCCCTCCGAGCATACTGGAATTCTCGGAGCCAAACCATTCAGGGGGAATCGGTACCCCCTTGGAGGGGGAATCGGTTCCCTCTGAGCAATCTGGAATTTTTGGCTTTGAAATGGTTCGAAATACTTTGTAAAATTATTTTGAAATTGTTTTAAGATTAAAACTTAATTTTACACTTCAGTAAGGATTAAAAATGATTTTTGAAAGATTTGGAGTAATGTTTTGATATTCGAATAGTTATATCGAATATACTTAGAAAATCATTTGGAAAATCTTAAAATTCATTTAACTTAATTTGTTATATCAAAATATTAAAATGTTTTCAACAATCTCCCCCTTTTTGATATAACAAAATATTTTAGTAATTTTTAAGATTTTGAAATCAAGTTTTGAAATTACTCCCCCTTACTTTAACACTTCTCTCATTTATCATTTAAAAACACATTTAACACTTCTTCCCCTTTTTGTTAAATCAAAAAGACATTTTAAAGAATCTAAACAAGTTTTTGAAATCATTTAGCCAATTGATTATATTTTAAGCTGCTAAGATCATAAGCAAGACAAACGTCAGCCATTAGTTTCATAATCAATATTCATAATTAATGTGACATGGCCAAATTGGTCATATTGCTAAAATTATGTAAATGATGCAATAATGAATAAATCACACCAAATATATTAGTTCACATCATCCATAAATCCAAACAAATTCAAAATCAATCAATCCACAAATTCAAACATCCAAACAAATCCAAAGTCACAAAATCAAACAATCCAAAAAGTTGAAGCAATAATCGTTTAGTTCAAGGTTTTAAAGCTAAGCATAGAATCACATATCCGAATCAGGAGGAGGAAAACGAGCTCGCATAGTGGCCATTTCGTGAGTGAGTTCATTAATACGTGCGTTGGTTGCTTCGTTGTTTGCACGCATCTCCCGAAGAATTTCTAATTGTTGAGCTCCCATTGTGGATAAATGAGACTCTATAGAAGTAAAGCGCGAATCCATGGTAGCATATCGGAAATCGAATGTCTCTATAAAGGATTGAAAATATGGAGGCATTTGATGCGTTTGTTGTGCTTGCTCCTCGGGCTGCTCAGGCTCATCTTCGGCTTCATCGATATCTCGCATTAATTGCTCAAGCTCGAGATCGTCATCAGCTTCTGGTGGAGCTCGTGAAGAACTAGCTCCCGGAGTATTTGCAGAAGATCGAACCCATTCACCGGTTTCCTTATCCTTTATCCATCCCGCTCTCGTTAAGGAAAGAAGATTAATTTGTTTATTAAGGGGAAAAACGGCATCTAGACCGACTCTAAGCCCAGCTTTGGAAAACAGATTACTCAAAATGCAACCGTAAACTAGAGATGAACAGAGTTTCTTGTTAGGAACAAGATTTACGGTTTCAACAATTTTAGCACAAATAATCTGAGGTAGGTTAATTTTAATATTGTTTTCGAAACAATATAACCACCAAAGATATAAGGCTCTAAGAGTAGAATAACGACCTCCGGATGATCGAAACCACCAAGAAATCATTAGATGAAGAAAACGTTTATGAAGGTCTAAGACACTTGCACTATCTCTTCTTTTATAATGAGATCATAAAACCTATTTTTCATTTGAAATACCATCATTATCTAATCCGAATGTATTGGCTATGTAAGTTGAGTCAATATATAAGAATTGTCCTAGGAGGTAGGAATGAATTCCTATGGTTTCGGTTTCAGTTTGGTTTTTAACACAAACTGCATTAGAATAGAAAACATGAACAAGTTGATGGTAAACGATGGGTTCAAGATCAAAGAGTTTATCAAATTTCCACTCTTGTAAAAGAGGAAGATATTTAAAATTAATAGATAACATAGCTTGACGAGAAGGAATACATTCTTCTCAGATTTTGTAAGAGTCAAAATATTGATAATACCAAAAACGATGATTTCTAGGACCAGGATGATTGAAGCACGAATTTTGGATAGTCAAATTAGGATCAATGGGATTAGGATTAGGAATTGGATTTTGAGGTGGATTTGGTTGACGGTGTGAACGACTAGATGATGACCTAACACGTTTAGGATTGGACATGGTTTAGGAAATCAGAATAGAATGGATAACCTGCAATTTAGAAAACACATGTATGCAATTCAATCAATCCCAAAAGTCAATTGAGTCCTCAATATTTCAAGGTTCTCTAAATCAATCCTAATGGAACAAAGTTTTTGAAAACTTTTGAAAAATACGGTTTTGAGAAACAATATAGTTTTCATAACAACAACATAATTCAATCAAAACACAATAATTTGAAAAAAAAATTGGAAAAATTCTTGTGTTTTTGATGAAATTAGTTGTGATATCTAGTTTCTAATCACTAAACAA